TTGGTATTATTCTTGTTGTTACGTTTTTTGTTTTAATAATGCTTAACGCATACGTTTATAGTGATTATGAATACGGCAACATGTTAGGTATCCGAACGTAGGTACACGAAGTATCGCTAAATAAATTGTTAAGACGTCGGGATGGAACAAGTGTGACATACTGTGCAGTGCACAAAGTGTTGAAGCGTAACCGAATGCGCCCATACAAATTGCACAAAGTGCAAGCTTTAGTTCCCGGCGATCACGACCGCCGACGAGTTTTCTGCCGTTGGTTATTATACCAGCAACAACGTGTGCCTGGTTCCATTGAGCACATTATCTGGACGGATGAGTCGACATTTACCAGAAACGGCCTGTGGAACCGAAGATATACACACGTGTATTCAGAGGTTAACCCGCACGCTGTTCGACAAACCGGGCACCAAACCCGATGGTCGGTTAACGTATGGGCAGGTTTATTTAAGGATCGCATACTGGGACCAGTGTTTCTGACAGAGCGACTGAACGGACAGCGATACCTAAACTTTATAAATGAACAGTTGGTTGACATTTTAAACGACCTATCGTTGGCTGAATATCGCCGCACATGGTTCCAACATGATGGTGCCCCTCCACATTTTGTGAGGTTCGTCCGTGAGTGCCTCAATGAGCTATTTGATGATCGCTGGATCGGCAGACTAGGACCACACGCTTGGCCACCTCGCTCACCAGATCTGACTCCGTTGGACTTCTTTTTGTGGGGTATGTGAAAGAAAGGGTTTTTAATCGTGAATGTGATAGTGCTGAAGAAATGCGCCAAAGGATCGTGGATGCTTTCGAGAAACTACGTACGGACTGTGTCGAAGACCACACGATGATGCCCCGCCTGCACCCAAATCTACCTTGAAATGAATGGAGCACAATTTGAGCCGCATCTCATAAGACCACGGAGGATTTAGAGCGGTAAGCTGTTTCATACCTATTTTTTTTTAAATAACTTAGTACTAGACTAATCTGAATAGGTACATAACTGAATACATGAGAATAATAAACATACCTACACGATGAATAAAAACTCATGACTCCAACCTTGGTTACATTTCATTTAAGTATTTATTCATTAGCGGGGAATCGAACCAGTTATTTGGGTTATTTAACCTGTAAATTCGGATTAAAGTGGCTAAGTGGAGACAAGCACAGTGGCAAAATAGTAGGTTAAGTAGATAAGTTAGGTATTTAGACAAGTGTTGTAAATTATTAGATATTGTGGTATGGCCCGCTAGTTGTGGGCCGCGCGAATTTGCGTTCGCGCGTACATTGACCTTTCAGTCAGGTGATATAAATTCAGTCATTCCACTGCTGGTTTTATGTTTCAGTATTTTCATGATATATTTTATGAAATTATCGTTTCAGTTAGCTGTACTAACATGATGGCGCGTGAATAAAGCTAATAAAACGTTGTAAAAAGATGATTTTATTTTCATCAGGATCGAATTTATTTGTGACCCATGATCAAAGGTGTACTTGGTGTTGTCGCCTGTCTTAGTTTTCGGGAGCGTTCCAAAAATACCCTGTATATATATATATATATATATATATATATATATATATCAAATCTAAATATCTTTTTTGACGCCTTCTCAGGACAAAATTCTTTGACAGAGTTATTAAGGGACTAAGGCTTAACATTTTAAGATATTTTTGATGTATAGACGTTATCATTTCTTCTCAACTAATTTTCTGCCATTGTTCTTTTAAACTCAAGTTTAAATATATACATATACATATACACAGTCATTGCAGTTTTGGAAAATACGACTTGATAAAAGTAATATGAAACTATCCTAAATTGAATGTGATGCCCATAGCAACAACTATGCGTACGCGAGCTCCAGTTTCGACACAGCATATGCGTGCGTTTCAGTGTGCGATTCAATTCACAAGGTTTTGCTGGTCGGCAAAATATTGTGAATGGATCCTTACGAATGAGTGCGTGCGTAGTAAAATAATAGGCGTTACATATTTATGAATGACAATCAGTTAAAATAATGCATTACCACACATTTTGAATTTAAAAGATTAAAAGGAGTAAAACTCAAGTAGAACAACTACAACCAGGCTAGATAATATATACTATATATTTTGAATCAATTATGAATTATTATTATTAATAATAGTTCGGGGAAATAGTTTCTTCGTAGTTTGTTTATATAAAATTGAAGAAAATCTCTTTGGTTGTACTGTTTGTATCTGGCTGTTTTAAATATCAATACTTTAGGACATTAAGAAAAATAAAAAGAAAAAACACTTTCCCGCCATTTTTCAATTGTTTTTCTGTCCGCCAAAATGAGTGAATCTAACGAAGAAATTCGATACATTCTGATGTTTTATTACAATAAGGGAAAATGTGACTCAAGCCGTGAAGAAAATTTGTGACGTTTATGGACCTAAGTGTCAATTAGAGTAGCACAAAGTTGGTTCAAGCGTTTTCAGTCCAGGAATTTTGATGTCAAAGATGCAGCTCGCTCTGGTCGCCTTCATATGGATAAAGTCGATGCCATTTTTGAGAAAGCGGTGCAAGATCGGCATATTAGTAGTTATGACATAGCCGAGGAATTGAGAATTGACCACAAAACAGTTTTAACCAATTTGAAAAGTCTGTCTATACAAAAAAGCTCGATATTTGGCACACGAGCTCACTGAAGGAAACCTAATGAATTGTGTACTCATTTGCGATTCTCTATTGAAACTTAATGAAACCGAACCATTTTTGAAAATATTGAATCAGAATCAGAATCAGAATATTTATTGCCAATAAGCTGTGTATGTACAATTTGCGGGTGACATTGCAATTAAATGTTACACAGTTTACCCATATCGGGTATGCAATAATTAAGAAATAAAACTTTATATAAATTAATGTTTGGTATTAAAATATTCATTTAAATTATAAAACACATTATATATTAACCACTTCTTGAGGTGTATTTTAAATCTTGGCAAGTCCATAGCTTTTATATTAGGTGGCAGATGATTGAATATTTTAATACCTGTACAAAAAGTGCTCTTATAATACATGTAATTATTAATTTTAGGTGTACATAAATTGTTCTTATATTGACTACGTATTGGACGTGAATTCAAGTTTGATTTAATCTGAAAATATTTGTTATTCTGTTTGATAAAAATTGAAATTTCTAAAATGTAAATATTAGTAAGAGTGAGATAACCTTTTTCTTTGAATACATTTCTTAGAGTTTCGTCTGAGTACATATTATAAATGATCCTCAGACATCGCTTTTGTAGAATAAATGTTGACTGCACGTTTGTAGAATTACCCCAGAAAATAATGCCGTAAACTAATAGAGGGTATACCTGGCCGAAGTATGCAGCCCTTGATACATCAACGGAAGTTGTTTCTGCTAATATGGATAATGCGTAACTATAGCTAGATATTTTTTTGTTTATTTTTTCAATGTGGGATTTCCAGTTTAAATGACAGTCTATGGTGACTCCAAGAAAATTAATGTTATCAACTGTTTCTATTTGGGTGTCTTTATCTGCAATATTTAAATTTAAAGATTTTGTTTTGTAATTTCTGAATTGAATAATTTTATATAATTTTAGTTTTTGTTAGATTGATTGATCACTGGTAATGAAAAGTGGCTCACCTACGACAAGAACTTGCGAAAAAGATCATGGTCAAAGGGTAGGCAAGCTCCACATACTGTAGCGAAAACCGGATTATCGTGCAAGAGCTTTTACCGCCCGACTAAACCATCGATTCGGACATCTACATCCAATAAGTAATGAGACTCAAGCAAGAAATTGAGGAAAAACGGGCGGAATTGATCAACTGAATAGGAGTGGTATTTCATCATGATAACGCCAGACCACACACATCTTTGACCACTCAGCAAAAATTGAGGTAACTTGGTTGGAAAGTGTTAATGCATCCACCATAAAGTCCTGACCTTGCACCCTTAGATTTTGATCTGTATCGGGTCTCTTCAGAATTCTTAGGGTAATGTTAGGTTAACATCAAGAGGGGACTGTTAAAACTACTTGTCGTAATTTTTTGATCAAAAATCCCAAGATTTCTACAGAAACAGGATTATATCACTACCTACAAAATGTCAACAAGTTATCGAACAAAATGGCACATATATATTATATAATTATATATGAAAAAAAAAACGTCTTGAATTTGTATATAAAATACGAAGAAACTTTTTCCTCCATTTATATATTTTGAATTTAATGTTCCCCAAAAACTCTTGGTTGGAGTTTGCGTGATGGTGGCCGGTCGGTCGTGCCGACTTGCTTGCATGTATGTAAGTTTAAATATGTTATAGTGCTCCTACTCCTACTTCACTACAGTTTAGTTGAACCACTTAGTAACTGTTTTCAAATCATATCTATAACCGTAATAAGCAAATATATAACTTCAATGACTTTCTTATATTTTGTATTTAGATTTCTTTTGACTTGATGACTAGCATAATAAGTCTTTGCCCTACCTTGGCAAACGAATATTTTCCTTTTTGTTATAGTAGTCTGAGATTCATAAAACACAGTTTCTGATATATTATGTACTTCTTCTCATGTGTTGCCTGTATAACTATGGCAGTATCATCAGTTATTTAAGATATCAGAAATCATTTATCCTCTAATCTTTTAGAGTGCGAGAAAGTCGTGAGGTGTATATAGGTTGTTACTTTACTTTTAAAAACTTTCATATAGATTAGGAATAATATAGACCCTAACACATTACCCTGCGGCACCGGATAGGATATCATGGTAAATTATAAATTAAGTTTGGCACTCTGTCTTTATACTAATAATACTAGTTATTATAATTCTGTTAATGACTGTTTGTGCTAAAATTCACTTTCAAATCCACATAACTCTCAACTAAGCAACATAAAAAATGTAAAACAAAATTAGGTTACTAATATCTTCATGTCAAAATTTTTAATAAATATTTTATTTACTTACGAAACACAGGTAATTAATTACAGAACTCATACTGGAGATAAGCCGTTTGTGTGTATGTATTGCCCTCGTCGGTTTACCCAGAAACACAATTTGACAATACATCATCGAATACACACTGGGGAGAAGCCATTCCAGTGTGAAGTTTGCAGGTATGTGAAAATAATTTTCATCCAAGCTGAGATATTCTTAATTTGGTTCAAATCCTACTTGGCCGCTATTTTTATTATGTATCATTTTAATCAATTATCCCTGCATTGAAAATGTGAGGTCGACTTTTTTTATTATTTCACCAGCAATAATAAAATGGCAGTTATAACAATTATCTAATAACACATATATTGACGTTAGCATCCTTTTTTTACAGTAAAAGATTTTCTGCGCAAAGCAATCTTCACGCACATTTAAAGATTCATACAGGACAAAAGGATCATGTAAGTTAATTGTTGATAAGTAAGTGTAAAACACCTTGATCAATTAGAAAGAAGGTTTTGCCGCGATTGTGGCTTCTTACCTATTCCACATCAAATCAACAGCCATTTTAAGTTCTACTGTTGGACATAGGACTAAAATGTGCCTATAGTCATCTAGTTAAGCAATGTTAGTATGAACAGAGCCAATGATTTAGAACTGGCAATGCTCTTCAACCTCGCATCTTGAGATTGGCATACTTGGAAAAGTTGGCATATTTTAGACCCTCAGCGTAGCTGCTAGACACTGTGTAAATATGCCATTCCGTTCTCATTTATAATCATTTAACATCTAGTAAGTGATGTAAGAGTCAGGTAAAGAAAGATCGGATAATTTTATTTTTTAACTTAATACTAAAGATGAGTCGCTAATTCGCCTGCCAAACAAGATGAGTACTTATCATAAGTTCTCATTTCATGGTTTTTATAATGACGAATAAGTAATAACAACAAAAGATGAGGAATCCAACTACAGCAGTCTATCATTATTAACTAATAAAAAGGCGTCTTGTATTTTTGCGAGTATCGTATTGGTATTATTACTTTATGCCACCTAGTCTAAGTTGGCGATACAATAACTCAGCCCCCAAATCATTAATTACATTTCTCAGAATAGCAAACACATATATACATACTTACATAAACCCTTATCGAACCCAACTAGGTAAAGAACAATGGCCACTCTTCTAACCTGCTTGGACTAGTAAAACCTAATACGTAACTTGATGAAACATAATAATATGTTGTTTCATTTGTCTACTTAAATATAATAAAATACGACATGTAGAATTTAATCAAGTTTTCAAATCTTGTAAGTTTATAAAAACTATTTACGGAATCGATTTTATCCAAGCGAAACGCAGAGGTAAACCTCTACTTCACGCTGGTTTTCTGTGAGGTCGTGGTACCACCCCGGTTCGAGCCGGCCCATCCGGCGACAGCAAAAGCTTCCGCGTGGCTCTACCACTGTTAAAAGTTATGTTATTTAAAGACTTATTAATATTTCACCAGAATTTAAAAATAAACTGATAATATCCATTAATTAAACTGACAATGTTCTACATTTTGGTGACAGTCTTATGTCGATAACAATTTGTTTTTTCCTAGTATCCATAGTTTTTTTATAATTGATCATAGGATATTTGTAAAGTATAGAAATATAGTCTGCTTGTCTTCTCTTATATTTGTCCAATCCTATATTTAAAGGAGAAATGTACAAGACAAAATATTTTCTGATCACCCGTCAAATTTTTAAGGTCAAACAATTATCATCTTCAAACCAAAAACTACAGTAAATGCACTGTGGCTTACTGACAGAAATAGGCAATAAGGTGATGCCTACCCAAACGGACAGAATTCCTAGAAAATCTGTCTAAAAATCCTAGTAAATCCGAAGATAACTTAGATGATTTTTCAGAGTTATGCAAAGAGAAACGTGCAAATTTATTCCATTAAACCGAAATAACCAATTTCATTTCCATTATTATTAAAATTGTAAGAGAAGATAACAAATGACGAAAATATTATTTTATATTATATTTATTTACCATTACAATTCGGCTATAAGAAGTACGCGAGATTGAGTTCTATCTCGAAATGCTACACAAGAAAGATGAATTGGGAACCACTGCTTTATATGACTTACGAGTACAGCGGAGCTTCTGAAAGCGGGTGGACAATCGGTACTTGAAGTCCTTCATGAGCTGGTCAGTTCCGTTTTCCATGGTGACGTAATTCCGTAGCCGCGGAACAGAAGTGCTTGTTCTAAAACTAAAAGGCTTTAGTACCATAGATCATATAAATTACTCTTCGGCAAATTATACAGAAGACCGGAGAGTACAATCTGCCACCTTATCTTGCGTATGTGAACTATTAACTAGCCATTGATTGCGTCGAAATATGGGTGGTGCTACAGTTGATTCAGCGGTCGATTCAGATTAATTGTCGATATATCGACATGTACAGTAGGGCTATCCGAGTACAGAACCACTAGAAACCTACCTAAGTTTACCTAGGACACATTGTCCGACTGGGCAAGTCCAACTTAGACCAATAGGTCAATTCATGGATCCAACTCATCAGGGTAGCGTTCGGGTGATTACGACACATTTTCTCGTCACATATTCCTCAAAACTTATAATCAAGACTGTACAACCATATCGTGTTGCCGGCGTGCTCCTTCACCGCTGAGGCAGCTCAAGGTTGCTCAGCGCGCTATGGAAAGGGTTATATTAGAGAGTTTCCCTGTGTGATAGAATTCGAAATGAGTATATCCGCAGTGGAACCACAGTAACCGATATAGCTCAACAGATCAGTAAGCTAAAGTGGCAATGAGTAATAGCTCGAAGAACAGACAATCGATAGTGAGAAAAGATTCTTGAGTGTCAGTCTCGTACCGGTAAGTGAAGTGTAGGGCGGCCCTCCACTAGTTGTCATGCGGTTAGTCGATGGATGCAGGTGATTCAGGAGCGTGTTTCATAGTATTAAATGAGGAAGACCTATGTTCAGCAGTGGACTTTTGAAGGGCTGTAATGATGGGTAAATGGCAATCGCTGATAGAATTTTTTTATGGCAAAATGTATAAAATTGCGCAAATATCGTAGAATGTTAGTGAATGCTGCGCAGCTTGAAAGAGTTAAAGTAATGACAATTTGTAGTTGCCGATAAAGTAAAAAAAAAACAAGCACAGTAGAGTAGCCAAGTTGCAGTTATTAGTACAGGACAAAAATGGTTGCAGCGACGTCTATGATATTACGGATTTGAACCACGCTATGGAAAAATTTCTAGCACTGTGAAATATAAATGAAGCAGAGACGCATCATCACGTGATTGAAAATCGTAACCAGGGATTTTGAACGAGACCAGATAGATCGAAGTAATAGCCCAGGAGAGGATGACCTACCCCTATTACCTACCTCCTACCCTCTACCTCTATTAATGGTGCAAGGCCAGAAAATGAAGATTTCACTTATTTTAAATATAAAACTTAGAATCCAGTTTACGGCCGGATAGTAATTACTATAACTCTGTCGAATACCGCAACTGGATAATTATTGCATCTCTACTTATTACATCAATTTTTGTATTTTAAAATATGGGTTGGTTGTACACAAATTTTTGATTGTGTTACTTTTCTGATTTTGCCAAACGAAGCCGCACAGGGCTCATTGAGATATGTTTTGTTATTTCAGGTATGTTCATTATGCAACAAATCGTTCATAACATCTAGTGAGCTCACTCGGCATATGAACAAGCATAGGGGTGTCAAAAACTTCAAATGTGAATTGTGTCATGCTGCTTATATACACAGTAGAGATCTTGTAAGTATTGTTTAATTTACTATACTTAATTTTGAAATTGTATTATATATTCTTAATTTGAAACTGTACACTTCTTGACCTGTCATCTACACTAGAGTCTTCATTGTATCGTTTGATGGTATGATAAACGAATCTTTTTGTTATATTCAAATTTTTCAGTATGTCAAAAATTTGAATTGGCGCGTAACCGCAACGATGCAACGCAATAACTGCAACACGGTCTTCTTTAAGCGTCCACTCCATATTTAAAAATGAGTAAAATTCTAAAAAGTATACAGTTTTATTTTCATGAACAATTCTAAATTCGAATTCAATAAACTTTTTTGTGGCCAGCATACCAAAAGAAAAGTTTTTACTGTGTGACAATACTTATGACCTGACTAGATAAATGTAATTAAACTTTCTTGAATTTGTATATAAAATACGAAGAAACTTTTTCCCGACCTAACATGTCATCATCATTACAGCCTATATATACGTTCACTGCTGAACATTGGCCTCCTCCATAGATTGCCTCACAAGGTGTTCATATTTGCTGTAGTTGTTTTAATAAGTGGTCGATCCCCCTTTCTGATTATGATCTTTATGAAAAAAGTGGCTAGACCTAGCTGTGGTTGAGCCATAAAAAGTTGGTATTATTATATTATTATACACTAACATTCATCCGCGATAACGATATTCCCATATCGTTATGTGGGTATCGTAAGAGCTGACAGAGAACGGCAGCAGCTTCTTTCTAATAACCTATGAGGGAGGCCTGTGTTCACTAGTTGACTTATTTTTTGATAGCATGTAACGCTATTTTTAAAATATATCTATTTTTCAGAAACTTCACAAATTAAAGAAACATCAAGTTGTTCCTCCAAATTCGAAAACGCAAAATGAAGGCTACAATAACAACAGTCAAATTGATATCATCAGCCTTGATGAAGCAAAAGAAATACAAATAATGCCTGGGAAAGATGTAATTCATCACTTTGCACCTCACACAACAGATGAGAAGAATCAACAGAGTGATGCATTGCCAGATCACACATACTCATTATATGAGCATAAAGGACTAAAAGATGTATTCCATCCGATTGCCACCAAAAGCACCAATGATGCCCACAGTTGTACTGTATGTGGGGAAGGATTTATGTTTGTGACTGCATTAGTACAACATTGTATCCTTCATCACAATGGATATGCTCCTATGCAAACTAAAAGTTATGCTTAGAATTGTCATAATATTTAGATACTTGAATATACTGGTTCACAACACAAAAATTTGTTTTATATACAAAATATTTCTATGTACAACATACATTATTATAAATTGTAAACAATTTCTTTAAAAAAAACTTCCACAGTGATTGTCGACAGTTCTTTCCAGGGATGTATTATTTTAAAAAAAATTAAAATTATCGTTAGAGAATTGACGACCACATATCATCGTAAGAGGCAGCAGAGGGAAGTGTTAAGAAGTGTGTAAAAGAAAATGAAAAAATTAGTTATTACTGTATTCATTCAAAAGTTTTTCTTAATTAGCAGTTTCTCTGTGTTAAATAAAAGGATGTTTCATACAAATCAAAACTTTAATTGTGCCAATATTTAAGCTTGGGTTCCATGGTCCCTGAGAACATATTGTTCTATCTGTGTTTTGCTATTGCAGTTTGGCTAATCTTTTTATTACAATGTAAACTCATAGTAAATCTGGAAAATCGTAAAACGTGTTTCTTTATTTGCAGAGTAGTTATTTAACTGTAAGCATAAAGCTGTCCATGCCATTTTAGGCCTGAATTCCGAATGTTAATAATTATGATTATTAACATTGTCATTTACTTACCAATCTCCTTTTTTACTATCGTCCTCATTATTGCAATCCGTAAATAAAGCCTCAAAAACATCTACCCAGTATTTTGCTGTTGCATCTTTGTACAAATCATTAGGTAAATAAGACGTTCTGTATCAATATTCATTGCAACTGTACGTGCACGCGTGGATAGTCGGTAGTAGAGTGATGGCGCTCGCCCTATTCCACGGCGTGGAATCCACGCTCGTCAGTCGACCGGCGTACGCGACACTGACGAGCGAGACGAGAGCGGCGCGCAGCAACCTACGCGCCGCTGTCGTCAGTGTCGTAGTGTGGGCCTATATAGAACACAATGTACATTAGTACGTGCGACCGACGTCAGCGTAGCAGGAATTCAGGCCTTATTTCAAGTTTCTTGTGTCAATTTCATCACTTATAGATGCAACATTGTATAGATAACATTGCAATGTCTACTGCTATAATAGATAATATGTTGGAGGTTGATCTGAATGTCATTGTCTTCTGTACTTATTCATTTTTTTATGTAGCCACAAATAAACTAAGAAAAAGTAATTGTGAGGTGAATTAAAAATTCAAAAGAAGTAATTATGAGACATTTCCCCATAGTCACCGAAGTAAAATAAAAAAATAATAATTATGCCTAAACTTTATTTAACTAATAACACGTCTGCATTGCCACTGGATAGTTATAAACCAATTTATTAAGGTGAATTAAATTATTTTTACACAGCAGCTGTTCTTAATTTAAAATTTAGGTGCATTCATAAATTTATCGAATTGGTACCCATGGTTCCAAGATGTCACCAATCTTCTTCCTCTCTGAAATAAATACATTAAGTAATAAGAGGAGAGCAGTAGCATGAAACGGTGTATCATATTACATACAATATACATAATGTTAATATATCTACTATTTGTACATATTAAGATTATACCTACTTATAATTGTAGCCTGTTATGTTGTCGATGTGAAGTAAAATTCAGCCAGCACTAATATTTTATAATGGGAAGCGATAATGGAAAATACCAGAATGATCTTATAGCTTCCAACAAATGGCAGTATTAAAAGTAAAGTTACAGCCTTTACACATCCCCTTCAAAATTCACATCTTGGGCAAAGGCCTTGTCTAATTTCTGAAAGGTTTTAGGGCAAGGAAATATCCACCACTCGCCCCAATGTATGTTGGCAGAATTCACATGTCATCAAAATATTTTATTTTTCATACAAGCTATAGTGTGAGTCACTTGTGTTGATAAGTGGAAATGTAGCTTACTGTATGTATTTATTCAATATATCAATCAAGAGTGCAAGCTAAAACTGCCCCGTTAGTGATCTTTGCCATGAGTATTTTTTACATGGTAGAGACACATTGCAGTTAGTAACATACCCTTGTCGGGCTGACCCATTCATACTACAACCATAATACATAGCTGCAGCACAGCTCTACTGTTAAAATTTGCTAAAATATCACATTCCAAATTAATTTAATTATTGTCTATTATTCTGTTTATCCACCCTAAAATAGCCACCCTAGAGTGGATATTTGGAAAGGCGAGTTCATCTATTAACTCCAGATGGAGTATATAATTGGAATTCTTGAGACTTTTTCTCCATGTACAATTAACAGTACATAAAGTCATAAACTTTAATAAATACAATTATTAATTAATTTTTAGCAACCACAAACTCATTACTAGATTCTGGCTCAATAAAAGACATTTTAAACCATACCAATGCCAATATAGTGATTACAAATGACCTAATGAATCTACAAAATTAATTGCAACAATACATTTCTCTCATTTTAAGATATCTAGAATGGCGTAAAAGTTGCATCAAATAGAATAGAAATAAACATAATATAAACAAATAAATGATAAGAGTAATTAAACAAATAAAACTATTTTAGTTTTGACTTTAAAACTAGATTTATGTATTTTTTCAGTATGCTTAAGTCTACTAAATATCTTGGGCTGTTTCTATCATCTTTCTATAAATAACTGTACACAACCGTGGGAGAAAATCGAAAGAATAATAATATACAATTTCCGATTATACACCCTATCTGGGGTAGATGATGAACAAGCATTTTAGAATGTTCTCACTAGGGTCTGTTTTAGAGTGGATCAACAGAATAACCAATTATTGTGGCATTTTTGCTAGGTATTCAGGAAAAACGAAGTCGTTAAACACTGAACACATCCATTATTTAAATCTGTTCAATAAAATGTTTACAATAATATGTTGATATCTTGCACTATGCTATTTATGGGGGATTGATGGGCTTGACCCAGTAGAGTGAGTAAATGATGATACTTTCTCAAGGTGTTGAAACAAATAATATATCTTGCCATCCTCACCACAACTTGTATATATATTACTATTATATATATACTTACTTAAGTCTGATTCTAAAAAAATATAATTCAATAATATAATTTCAAGATGTATTAATCAATTAATTAAAAAATAGTTTGAAAAATTAATATCATAATATAATTTCCAAATGTAATAATTTTTGCTAGAATTAAAAATATTTAGTCAACATACAGTGTATAAATGTTTTACGTAAATAATGTTTATTTCTATGCAAATTATATAATTCTCTTTTTTCTCTGTTGTCAGATTCTCTACCAATCTCACATTGTCACATACCCACACTGTTCATTATGGCCCTTTACATTTGAAGAAATTGTATATTTCTACATAAAAAGGTACACAAGAAATTATAAAATTTTGCAGACTTGAATTTATTTAACCGTTAACAAAAATGTAAACAGGATATAATAAATTAAATTGATACCATTCATCTACCTCATATATATGCATTCAATCAATAAATGCCTTTCTTTAACACTCACCTGGTGTAGGAAAATCTTCAGGATGTAATTCTACATAGTGTCGGTAAACAGCGTCTTTTTCGGCGAAGTATTCATCCCGTTTGTTTTGAACGTAAGTTAAAAGTGACGTCCATACCGCCACACCAACAATATGCTTTTGTATGCCTAATAAAGTAAAAGCATTTAGGGCATTTTCATTTATATGGTTAATACTATTTTTCACATATCATATTATTAATTAATAAGTATAACAGTATTGTTATTATTATGTAATACATTACCACTGAAAAGTGGACGTCGTGTGCCGAAGTTCATAAAAACTCCAGTTCCTACTCCGAAAGCAGTTCCAATAATGTAAGGCCAATATATATTTAAAAAGGGCTTTTTCCTATCCTCATCACCCAATTTAAGAAGTTCAACTGCAGTTAAATGTGAAGTCATTTTGACTAAAAATATACCTTTTTGGTATTTTAGCACTTGTAAAATATTTGACAGTTCACGATTGACATAACTTTTTTTTAATAACTGGCTTTACGGCTCTGGGTTCTAGCTCTTCTGGGGCTGAAGTAACAATGTATAATTATCCTTCATAGTACACTGCTTCACAATATGTTGATGCGTCACATTGTGCAGCCCTTGGGAGATTTTGACGGCAACTTGAGTCAGCAGACTGCTGACAGTTGGTGATGGTATCTCAAGGCGCCTAAGCAGACAGACACCTTATCTTGAGAATCACATCACCATCAGACACTTGTTTCACCGTTTCCAGTAATAGTTCACATGCGCAGCCATTTAATACAAAAAAATCGCACCACTCTTATTATATATCTAAATCCACTTCTAACCATTATTTAAACAATAATACGGGAGCAGCAAGCCGCCGCCAGTCAAGTTGCCGCCAAAACTCGTGAACATAACAATGGGAACCACAGACACAGTGTACTTTTTATATACTGGAAGTCATAGACTTAGTATCTTCTATCTACGACTGGAATATGGAGCACAGAACACTAATACCCTTAGGCGGGAAGAATGTCAACTTCAAACAAAGAAAATGGCACCCATAATGCACGCCATCTCTGTCGTGCCCCCTAAAACTTTTTGCGCGGGAATTTTGACACGTGATTTTTTTTTAGTTGTCGTCTTGGTTGTTTCGTTTCAAAAATGGCTTAAGAATGTAAAATGCCATATAGATCGATATTAGCTTGTTGTTTTTCGTTTCAATGATATATATTGCTAAATTAAAACGAAAACAAAAGCACAAAGTTATTTGTAAATTATGGTACTTTACATTCATAAACCACTTTTGAAACGATTAGCAATCATTTTAATATAAAAAAGGAACTATTTTTCAAATAAAAGTGGTTTTTGAAATACATAATTTTTATTTACATTACATACTTGTCTACATTGGTACATAGAAAAACCGTTGGTACATTGATGGACGTAAATGACGGAGTAATTAACTAATTTTTAACATGGTATATGTAACATGACATTTAAGCAAAATGGAAAGTAAAGGTACATTGGTTTTATATAAAAAAGATTAGACAATCTAATATAAACACTTTTTTCTAACAAGAAAACATTATTTACCTTCACATTCTACAAACAAGGCAATAGCTTTGCAATATTATGTCTAAACTCCAATAACCTGATTATATTATAGATGCCACCAATAATATTACATTTGTAGAAATTATTTTCGTTATATTATTGTTATTGACTGCATTAAAAACTAATAAGTCAACATTTTCATGTCATTAATTAGCACTACCTGCTGCAAATCCATCCACGAAAAACAAAAAGGATCTTTATCCTTTTTGTTTTTCGTGGATGGATTTGTCAATGTTGTTTAAATGACATGATTATAATTTAGTTACTTACAGAATATATTTACAAATAAAAGAAATTGTTAAAATAGTGTCTTAAAAATAGGATGGTGGTGGTAATTGTGTTAAAGCAACATTCATTAAAAAAAAAACAAGTTGTATTTAATGTTTATAAATTTATAAAGCTGTTTGAAATTTAGAGATTGGTTGACCAATGCTGGGATACATGATATAAATAATGATTTGATAATCTCTAATTTTCAGATCACATTAGCTGACCTTAATTTGGAACAAAGGAATGACATTCAACATATTGCAGGTCCATCAACTAATAAACAACCACTGTCTGAAAATATTCAGAAGACTATAACTGTTCCAAATGTATTTGAGCCTGTTGCGGGTCCGTCAAAATTTATACAACCCTTGTGTGAGAATGTAAATTATAAAACCATTCCTGACAAAACTAGTGATATTCCTCAAGTAACTGAGAATATCAACCCTGTTGCTGCTGCAAATCCATCCACGAAAAACAAAAAGGATAAAGATATGTTGATAAAAATGAAATATCATCTGAAAAAATTAACAGGCTTCAAAAAACTGTAAAGCATCTAAAGAATGAAGCATTTCTCAAAGTATTGAGCAAAAATGATTCCGTAAATGAAATATTAAAATGTAAAATATCCCCCTCTTTTGCATTATTTTTGCAAGGAGAATTGCAAAACTATAAAAAAAAATCAAAAGCTCGAAGATGGAACATGGACTCCAAAATAATAGCACTAAGACTGTATAAAAGGTCACCTAGGTGTTACAAATTATTAAGAAGGATGATTTGCCTGCCAACACCTAGTTCATTAAAAGCGTTATTAAGCAAGTTTCACATGAAAGTTGGTATTAATGACCAAATATTTAATGTTTTGAAAAAAAAAAACAATAAAGCAACACACTCCCTCAGACAATGAGTATATCCTTATGTTTGATGAGATGTCAATAAAAAAGAATTTGTTTTACAACAAAAAGGAGGACATAATTGAGGGTTATCAAGACCATGCATTGCAGGGCAGTTCACCACAAATGGCAACACATGCCCTCGTGTTCATGATTGGCGGAATCCGTAAAAAGCTGAAACAACCAATTGCTTATTATTATTCTAAGGAGGTGAGCATTATGGTCTTTTATTTGTTATTATGTCAATATATGTAGTAGTACTTTTTTACCATATTAATTTACCCTTATATCATTCTAGGTCCTGCAACATTGTTTTGATGCTGGAATTAATATTTCAGCTACAGTGTGTGACATGGATGGTGAATAAGAGAGCTTTAAGTATCTTGGGAGCATCTGTAGAACAGCCATATATTCTGCTAAGTAATCGAGAAGTGGTTACCATTTTTTATACTCCGCATTTGCTCAAATGCTTTAGAAATATAACATCTAATATATATGACATTAAATGTCCAACAAATATAACATCAAATGATCAAATTTGGTTTGATAAGATTAGATATTTTGTTTTATTACAATCATAATATTATACATATTTCCAATTTACTGGATATTTACACAAATTTTTTTTACAGGTGTTGCTAAATGGAGCCATATAAAGGAGTTTTATGAAACAGATAACACCAATTTTATGTTTGCACCTTGCTTAAAACAAGAACATTTAAATCCAAATACGAAGCAGAAGATGAAGGTGAAGCTAGCTGCACAAGTGTTAAGCCAATATGGACAGCAAATATGGACAAGCTGTTTGATTGTGTCAACGCATGCTGCACACCAGACCTAAGAAGGGGGAAATCATTATCGACAAACATGACAAATAATACACCACATCTCACACATTTCACTTTAATGAAGAATTTTTTTAAGGAAATGACGTTTTTGGGATGCAAACGAGCCTCTCCATCCCAAGAAGGTTGGATATGGTCCATCAATGGAATAGAACGAATCTGGAGAAATCTCAGTTCTAAACATAAATCAATAAAAAGTTTGGAAACAAGAAGGCACTCACTGCTGGGCAGTTTGTTGCGGGTCTTAAAACGGCTGTCCTTAGCAACTTATCTTTTATTGGGACAGGAAATTGTGAAGAAGACCAAAATCAAGTTATATTGACAAATTTTAAATCTTTATTATCTCCACCCACAGACACACACACTGCTTATGCCACAATTTTAACCGATGAGTTAGAAGAAAGTGTAAATTCTACATTTGAATGTAGCTTGGAAGAAAGCAGTGGCGAAATACAAGCATGTGCCTATGTCTGTGGGTTTATAGTAAAAAATAATCTCAACAAATGTGAAATTTGTAAAAAAATTTTTGTATCTGAGACAAGAGAGATCACATACTTTTATTGACTTTAAAGAATATAGTGATCTAAAAAAGTCCCTTAAATATGCCTCTAAAAACCTCATTAACTGTATTGAAAGTAGTACTACGATGATTTATGATTTTTTAGAGGCAGAGGCATATAAAAAAAAATTAAAAAGGACAATTAAAGTTTTGTTCAAAAACTCAATAAATTTGGAGTTTCTCGATAAATGTCCAGAACATAAAGATATGAATATAGATTACTTATTTAATAGCGTATTTCACATTTGTATGAAGAGATTTTGTATTTTGAAAAATCGGCAATTTGCAGAAGAGTACTCTGCATCTGCTCTTAAAAGAAAAATTAATATCCTTCAGAATAAATAAGATATTACATGGAACTACTTTTTTTGTATGTACAGTCATAATCACTTCAGTGGTAACATTATATAAGGAGATAAAAGGAGAGGGAGGATTTGTCCTCTCTCGAGAGAGGCTGCCAAGGAGTGACTAGCGCTGATGAGGCTACGGATGTGTGTAAAAGTGTCATTTAAAATAATATTTCTTTCATGGCAATATAACTTAACGTGCGAGGGAGATAGATATTATTCCATCTCGCTTCTTTAAAGCCCCCCAAGGTCATCTCCCGGTGCCAATCTGCTATTAGGAAGTTGACCGGCCCTGATATGGAGTGTAGAGTAGAAGGAGAACCATCTTATAAGGTGCGAAAGTTGAAAAAGTGTCCCAATATATACTGAAAATAGAGGTTCCAAAACCTACCACAATAGCGCTGTCGTCTGAAAAACTACGATATGAATATAGCTGTTGTAGACGGAGTGAAGTCAGCTGAATTAAAATATTTATAAAATTTCATGACTAGAGTAGTTAGTAAAATGCCAGTATACAAAACCTCAACTATTTACGTAGTACAAAACCAAGTGGATTGGTCGGTCCTTGTTTATTTCTCCATCTTATTCTAATAAATTTTGGCGCTTTTTTTTGAATTTATCCTATGCTACTGCAGCGCCACCCTTATTGGACGCGTTTTTAGGGACACTTTTCATATACAGAGATGGTCCTCCTTCTACTCTACACTCCATAGACTGGAAGTATAGTGCGCGCAAGGTAAATCTGCGCGCGACTGATGGCGTACTTAATGTTACCAACTTAACTAATATTTCTTTCCTTCATTTAATCTTATTACTAGAATTATACGGGTATTTTTGGAACGCTCCCGAAAACTAAGACAGGCGACAACATCAAGTATACCTTTGATCATGGGTCACAAATAAATTCGATCCT